CTGGGGTGGCGGTTGCTGGGAGCGGCTGGAACAGGGGATACCCCGTGGCTGCTGCCCGCCCGGCGTAGGGGCTGGCGCGGGCCGGTCCCGGGTCCCGCCTGCCGCAGCCATTGCTCTGCTGCGCTGGGGTCTGACCCGCCGCCCTCGCAGATCTCTGCTCTCAGCCTGGAGACAGGCTTTTTGCTACCCGTATTTCACAGCTGAACCCTGCTGTTGGACTGGAACAAGCACAGAAGGAATTGCTTGTTGTATTACATTTTAAGTGCAAAGCTGAAGCTAGAACAGTAGTTAGATGGGAAGAAATATCTGTCCTCATGGCTAAAAGTTTAACCCTAAACGGCTGTAAACACTGTGGAATCCGGACAGCCCAGCCTGAACAGTCGCTGCAGCCGTTCGCTTTTGCACTACATTTAACATGCAGCCTTTACTCCCTAGTGTACTCCAAAGAATAAAGCTACAATTAAAGAATGCAACTGAAATAACTGTGGTTTGTGTCATGATGATTTTAATATGTGAAAGATGCGATGCTGAACCTCGTCGGCATCTGCGGCATCTTAGCACAGGGAGCGGAGATCTCGCTCGGTGCAGCCGACGCTGCAGCAGGATGTGGTGAGCAGCTTGGCTACTTCGCGCTTTTTTAGCGTAGACATTTTCCTGGCGCGTTGCAAGTCTCGCTCTGTCTCGGGCTCGACGCTGGGGATTTCCTGGCTGTCAGCCTCCAGCCTCTGGTCTGCGTACAGCGAGGAGTCGGCGTAACCGGTGCTCTCTTGAGAGGAAGGCAGGGCATTTTCACTCTCTGTGGCATAAAAATTAGAAGCTATAAGTTAGAAGTCATGGAATCATGAGTAGTTTATAATATTTCTCTTTTCTAGAAAGACAGACCAGCTAGGGAGCTGAAAGTGCTGTCCTGCTTGTTTCTGTGGTGAGCAACCGAGAGGTGCCCGATCACTGACCGCTCACCACAGCAGTAGGAAAACAGATAGACGAGGTATTTGTTCTGTGATTAAAGCGTTAAAAAAACCAGTAATTTCTGGATTTATATTGAAGAGTGTTCTTTGTAGGCATAGTTGCCTTATGAGTCTGACACTGATAATGCTTGTTGCGAAGGGTAAACCCGTGTCAGCAGCGCTGGACCAGCGCGTTAACCTGGAACCGCTGGTGGGTTTCCTGCAACGCAGATGTTACGTGAAGGCATCGGATGCCCCACAGTTTCAAAGTTCCTGGATGTTGCCACTTAAATTACGCTTGCGACTCGTGTGCGTTTTAAATACCACAGCACGACAGGGCGCTGCCTCGTGGAGTTTGTAAGGGTGC